AAAAAATCTTTTGATCTTTTTAAGACTTAAAAGTTCAGCATTCTAGCCATTATAGGTAGCTGTTTCTGTCATATACTGGATCAATATTTCATGTCATTGTATAATTTTGTAATTACTAAACTGAGAGCAAAAGGGTTGGAACATGGAAAAAGTTCAGAAGGGGATGAAAGATCAGGAAAGTTGGTGACGGTGTTGCAGTTGAATCACTATGCTTGTTTAAGGGTTTGAGAGAATAGACAGGATATAAAAGGAGACAGTGATAGTTATTTGCTTGAGTATATTGATCATAGTAATATCAGTCACTTCACTTTTTTTTTGCAGCTCCATTTATGCACTGTGGCCTGTGTGGAGAGTCTTGACACCTTTTATAACCTTCACATTGTTCATGGGAGTTATTTTTTTAGCAACATTACTGCCAGTATGACTTGAAAGTCTTTCTTTCCTTTGTAATACTAAGATTGGATGAGATATTCTCCATTCTAGCGACTAGAAATTTCCTTTCACTGTATAGACATACATGTAACATTCAGCCGATAAATACGTCTCCTTTCCTCACCTGAAGTTACAATTTAACCCTTTAAATCTCAAGATCTGATTGTTAATTCTTCCTGGTAACTGCTACACATTTCGTTATGAATTAGTTGTAAGAATTCGGTGTTAGATCAAGATAACCAACTTTTTTCAGACAAGTTCCAGTATTCTCATTGTCTGTTTGCTGGATGATGTATGGATATGTTAGGGAGAAGTAACATTTCAATCTCTTCTGGAAGGTAAAGGTTGAAGAGTTTTCAAGTTGAGAGGAACAATTTGGATCAAACTTGAATGGTCCACTTGCTTGTTTTCAAGGCTAAACACATCGCGGGCATCAGTAATATCTTAACAGATGCTTTGTCCCGATTACAGGTACAGGCTTTCAAGCAAAGGGCACCTCAAATGACAGTTCTCCCACACCAATCCCACTCTGTCTGCAGCCTCAGAACTTTAACCTCCAATCTTAGAGTTATTGTCGGCTAGTCTGCAAAAGTCATCTCTTCCAACTTATAAAAGGTCATGCCGTTTATTTCAACAATTTTCATACAACATTTTCGGGCATGCTTCTTTTTCTCTTCCCATCACACCCACTGCGTTAGCAATTTTTATAGCATATTTGTATGACAAAGGGTATGCACTGCACCATCCACAGTGAACACCTATGTTTCAGCCCTTGTCTATTTTCACAAGCTTTCTAACTTTCCTGACCCATCCAAGAGTTTTTTCATTATGCAAATGCTGAAAGGATATAGGAAGAAGGGGCAACGCGTTGATACAAGATTACCAATTACATTACCTATTCTTCATAAACTTATTGATTCGGCTGAGAGTTTTTCTTGCCCAAATTATACCAAAGTTCAGTTCCGTGCTATCTGCTCATTAGCCTTTTATGCGTTCCTGCGAGTTGATGAGATGACTGCACCCACTCAGGGAGCATGCCCCCCTGTTCAATTAAGTCAATTGACTCCACTTGTCGATTCTACGGGAAAGATCATGTCACTCAAACTTACTTTCATGATTACAAACACAATTATAATAAGCCCCTTTTCTCCACTGTCATCAACCGCCAGCCATCTCATTGCCCAGTTGAGTCAGTCTTACTTTACTTGAACCACAGGGGTCCTGCACCGGGTCCACTTTTCATTGATTGTGGAAAACCCATCACGCATAATTTATTTGTTGAACAGCTTTCGTGGGCTGTAAAATCTTGCGGTCTTGACTTGGCATGATATAAAGGTCACAGTTTTTGAATCGGTGCGCCTCTTATGCTGCAGACAGGGGATTGTCTGATTGTCAAATTCGTACTCTGGAGCGATGGCAATCCAATGCATTTGCTAAATATATCAGGATTCCTTCGTTGTCTACCTAACTTAGCTGATCAACATTAATTTAATTTGGCAATCATACATCAATAGAGGGGAAACTGACTGATTTACAGGGGTGATCAGTCACTTATCTCTCTGGTATGCAAGCACTTAACTTCATGATCTTAAATATTTCAAATGCATTTTATATGATATTAATTAACATTAGAGACTTTATCGACTGATCGACAGAGGTGATCAGTCCTATCTCTGGAGCTATATCGTCAATGTAATTACTAGGATGCTAAGGATTGATTTGGGGGGGCATCACTACTATCTAGTCTCTTAGTACTTTGCAATCAGTATCTACTGTTATTTCGTTAAAAATTTTAAACAATTTCCGATGATTATACATGTTCTGGTTACATAAGTGAGCTGTTAGCAGGGGCAACAGTCTCGTGTTTGTCTCATTGAATATCGTATATACTATTGATTTTGTACATATTATTATCGAGTGTTTTATAGGTGATTATTCACCGCAATGTTCTAGTGCATATGGGCTGTTCGGAAAGGTGACAGCCTTGTTATTTTAATATTTGATCTCCATTTGAGTGCATACGATTCTTACATGATTTCAATGTGATTGTAAATAGTAATGTTCATGGGCTGTTAGCAGGGGCCACAGTCTCATGTTTTATTCAATCATTATTGGAGGTGTATTTGTTTTTACTTTGCTGCATTTTCCTTGGGTGGGGCTGCAGAATGATTTCATTTGTCATTTTGCTTTGGTAATTAATTTGCCCTCACCTTCACTGGGCAATAGTCACTGTTCCCTTTGTCAGAATTTGCAACAATTTCTTGTAATTCAATTTATTGTATCTTGATTAAACATGGCTGCAGGTATAGGCCTGCAGCCATTTTACTACAACTTCTGCTTGTTTCCTTTGTCTCCCTGCCCAGTAAACGTAGCTNACCTATGTTTCAGCCCTTGTCTATTTTCACAAGCTTTCTAACTTTCCTGACCCATCCAAGAGTTTTTTCATTATGCAAATGCTGAAAGGATATAGGAAGAAGGGGCAACGCGTTGATACAAGATTACCAATTACATTACCTATTCTTCATAAACTTATTGATTCGGCTGAGAGTTTTTCTTGCCCAAATTATACCAAAGTTCAGTTCCGTGCTATCTGCTCATTAGCCTTTTATGCGTTCCTGCGAGTTGATGAGATGACTGCACCCACTCAGGGAGCATGCCCCCCTGTTCAATTAAGTCAATTGACTCCACTTGTCGATTCTACGGGAAAGATCATGTCACTCAAACTTACTTTCATGATTACAAACACAATTATAATAAGCCCCTTTTCTCCACTGTCATCAACCGCCAGCCATCTCATTGCCCAGTTGAGTCAGTCTTACTTTACTTGAACCACAGGGGTCCTGCACCGGGTCCACTTTTCATTGATTGTGGAAAACCCATCACGCATAATTTATTTGTTGAACAGCTTTCGTGGGCTGTAAAATCTTGCGGTCTTGACTTGGCATGATATAAAGGTCACAGTTTTTGAATCGGTGCGCCTCTTATGCTGCAGACAGGGGATTGTCTGATTGTCAAATTCGTACTCTGGAGCGATGGCAATCCAATGCATTTGCTAAATATATCAGGATTCCTTCGTTGTCTACCTAACTTAGCTGATCAACATTAATTTAATTTGGCAATCATACATCAATAGAGGGGAAACTGACTGATTTACAGGGGTGATCAGTCACTTATCTCTCTGGTATGCAAGCACTTAACTTCATGATCTTAAATATTTCAAATGCATTTTATATGATATTAATTAACATTAGAGACTTTATCGACTGATCGACAGAGGTGATCAGTCCTATCTCTGGAGCTATATCGTCAATGTAATTACTAGGATGCTAAGGATTGATTTGGGGGGGCATCACTACTATCTAGTCTCTTAGTACTTTGCAATCAGTATCTACTGTTATTTCGTTAAAAATTTTAAACAATTTCCGATGATTATACATGTTCTGGTTACATAAGTGAGCTGTTAGCAGGGGCAACAGTCTCGTGTTTGTCTCATTGAATATCGTATATACTATTGATTTTGTACATATTATTATCGAGTGTTTTATAGGTGATTATTCACCGCAATGTTCTAGTGCATATGGGCTGTTCGGAAAGGTGACAGCCTTGTTATTTTAATATTTGATCTCCATTTGAGTGCATACGATTCTTATATGATTTCAATGTGATTGTAAATAGTAATGTTCATGAGCTGTTAGCAGGGGCCACAGTCTCATGTTTTATTCAATCATTATTGGAGGTGTATTTGTTTTTACTTTGCTGCATTTTCCTTGGGTGGGGCTGCAGAATGATTTCATTTGTCATTTTGCTTTGGTAATTAATTTGCCCTCACCTTCACTGGGCAATAGTCACTGTTCCCTTTGTCAGAATTTGCAACAATTTCTTGTAATTCAATTTATTGTATCTTGATTAAACAGGGCTGCAGGTATAGGCCTGCAGCCATTTTACTACAACTTCTGCTTGTTTCCTTTGTCTCCCTGCCCAGTAAACGTAGCTCGGAAAATGCAGTTTAGATGCAATTTAATATCATTTACTTAGTGGAAAACATAAAAGTAGTTGTTGTCCATATTAACAGGTCCTTGTTTCAAGAGAGTTAAATTAAGATGAAATGTTCCATAAGGACCAAAACAATTGTGCATAAAAACATGCTCTTTGTATTGACTGTAAGACTAGATTTGAATGTACCAATACATGTACATGTAACTCTAACTTAAATATATAATTCTCTTGATTGCCGTCATGATGCTAATCATGAAAAAGTCACCATCCAAACAGCATGCATGTTAGGTTTTAATTCTGTATATTATTATATTTCTTCACAGGGTTGTTAAACAACCCATGATTTTAATTAATAGACAGTCACAAAAGGTAAGTGATCAGCCTTCTTTCACCCACATACTGTACATGATGTGTAAACTGTCCTCGTCATATACAGTATGCATTATAGGTTTTGTATATAGTGGAATCCTGCTTTACAGGAAACGTCTTGATATGGACACCTGCTTTTATGGACAGTTTCATTTGTCCTGATGACACAAATTTTCTCTTACATCATCCTGCCTAATACAGACAATCTTTCATGCCCCTTTCTTTTCCATATTTACCAGCTTCCACTGTTTTATCCTTTGAAAATAAAAATTATTAAAAACAGTATGTGGATCTCATTAATTTTGCTTGAAAAACATCGTGTGCTCATTAACAGACCTTACATTGTACATGTAGTGTGCTAAGTTTGAAAAAATTCAATATATATTTAAATGCATTTGTAAAACATAACACTACCATAACTATTCAGTGACTCAAATTGCATATTTTTATTATTAAAACTCCCAGCAAGATTTTTTTCTCTTTTTATCCCTAATTACCCCTTTTGTTTGCAGTAGCTAAAACAAAACAATAGACCATAAAAGTAATCTTGTTTGGCTTACTGACAGAATATAAATCATTTACTTCTCATGCATAAACGACTCGCATGAGCAAAAAAGTTTCACCGTAGCTACAGCCTTGTGCCAACTACACGTTCATAATGGCTTTACGCAGCCTCAATAAAGTTTCAAAACTGTGTCTTTTGTATTTTGCTGTTGACAAAAGTACGTGCATAATTCAAACAAAAAAGGTGCAATCGAAAGAGACAGGGAAGCTGTTTTTGGAGACTGCACCAAATGTGAGAGACTTGGTTATGGTCAAAAGTGGAGGCAAGCTGCTGGAAGCTATGGTTATTGCGACAGGTGGTAAGTAGCGTCCCCTTTTCCAATCTTTTTCCCGATCATTGATAACGGATGTAACGGATGTCTCGTTGCATTTCTAGTGTTACATGCAGCATTTTTTAAATTTTTAGATAATGAAGATAACCTTAATAAAGAGGAAAGGGCTTTCATTGAGACGAACGCAGAGCTTTTCGACCCGCAACCGGTTTCTCCTGGAAAGAAAAGAACCAGCGAAGATAAGGGTGCTAGTACGTCGAAAAAACAAAAAGCTTTGAGTGACGAGGTAAGCCTGTAATGTCGAATAAGTTTTGCCGTATTTCTAAATTATTGTAGTTATAGTTAACGCTAAGTGCCAGCCAGCAAGGATTTTTATACCTATATGCACGCGCTATTCAATTTGTTTAGAAATGTCATGAATTACCGCATTTACGAAAAATAGCTTGAACTAATTTTGATTCCAAAAGCGAAAAGTACCTTTAAAATAGTGAACCAAACTTTTCCACTGCATAAAGAAATTGAAATATTAACATAACCAACTAGCAAATGAAGTTTGTCGGTGTTCTTGTGCAAAGTTGTGCACAGTTCATTTTCTGGGGGTCTCATAAGTGAAAGTAGAATCCTGGAAAAAGAATAAGTCTGTGAATATTCAACTTGTATCTGGTCACTTCTTAAAACTTTAGGGGCGTTGGGGAGAAGAGATTTATGGTGCGAGATAAAGTCTCCAAATTATTTTGGTTCAGAAACACTATAATTTTGCGGCTTTAATTTTTCTTAGCGGCATAAACAGGGAGTGTATTGGGATTCTTTGTTTTGCCTGTCTGCATCCTAGCACTCACACGTTTTTAAATTTGTAGTTGCAGATGATTTGCCTGTGATAAAGAGTTTAAGAAAAAGGCAAGGAAATTAAAGTGACTCGAGTTAAAGGTAAACAACATTGAATATTGAATACTGTATTCTCCTTACCCTGCATGCAG